TCAAAAGAATGTTGTTGGAAGACCTTATTATACAACCTATCCCCATAGATTAAGGACTACATGGTTAGTCTCTGAATGGTCTGCCGATCTCTCACTCTAGCATCGGGAGCGGTTGTTCCTGTCGTACCAATGGTTATAGACTACAAGTCTTTTAGTTTCACAAAATGATTATTTCTATAAATTTCATAGATTAGTGTTATTTTAATCAGCTTAACCCTTGTCAATTGACGGTTGGCTTGTGATATTCTTCTTTTTTAGATAGATTCTATGTTGGTGCCATTGTTTCTAACCAGGAACACACTTTGACAAAGTAATGGAGGTTGATGTTCTACAAACCTAGATTAATGTTATCAATTTTAAACAATTGAGTGTATTATGATATTATTATCTTTTGCCATCAAGCTACCAATAACAATCTTATACTTTGATGCTAAATGTAAGCACATGGTCCGATTATGCCATCAAATTCAAAAAAAATTTATAGGTGTAATGAATCATTGAAGTTGAGACTTCAAATCATTCAAATATACTAATTGGTGTTGTTTGAGATTGTGTTTCTTTGATAAGAGAATGTAGGAATTAGAAAGATGATTAGATGTTTGAGTTATAAATTTCTTACAATATGTAAGTTGGATATTTGAAGGTCTCCCTTAAATTAAAATTGTGGAGTTCATTTGTTGTCTACAATGAAAATATATGCAATGCCGTAGATTATAATTTCAAGATCATTACAATAATTTATAGCACTAGTGAGTTGCCCATTGCAGTTTGGAGTTTGTTTGACATGATGAAACCACATACATGGCCTGCATATATTCTAGTATAGAGCATCATCAGTGCAATTATAATGTAATTGTTGCATAGATGAGAAATTGTACACAAATTCATGGGGTTATTCAGTATCTCATTTAATTTTCTCTCAAGTAAAATGCAAATGGCACCCTGCCCCTTGAAAGATTGAAAATTTTTTAATTTGCACCACAAAAGATTGATTATTTCAAATTGCACTCTCAATGTTATTATTTGGTGACAATGTGGCCCAAGAGTGACAGACATTGAACTTGCCGTTAACCCAATCTATCACGTGAGATGCACGCAATAACCAGAAGGGCATTCATGTAAAAACACCGCAGACCCAAAACCCCCTTTTATCCTGGCACCATAGCTGATGAATTGATTTTGCCCTAATACATTACATGTCAGCGTTGAAGAAGGAAGGAGTAGAAGAACAGCGGAGAATGAATGGAGGGCTTTTGTTACTACGGTAAGAGAGCATCAGTGAAGACTTCATGGACAAAGTTAAAGCCTAGGAGGCAATTTCTTTGTTGCGATAACCATGGGTAAAATCGTTGTCCTTATTTTCTTGATTTCTTAAAAACTCCATTCTCATAGCCAACTTGAATCAGAGCTTTTGGAACACAATTAAAGGTTCCAGTTCAGTGTTTGTAAGTTTATAGAAATTGTGTAACATTAACAATGTAATTGTACAAGGAATTCGACAATTGCATAGGGGAAACAAAATTATGCAACTCCAGCCTTTTCGTCAATGTGAATATCTACATTTTTGCAAAGTTTTGTATTTTCTGAATCATTATATGGTGTTGTGTTTTAATGTATGCAGAATGGTGGATTGTGTGGTTATTTTGTTTAGGTGGACCCTCCAAAGTGTTGTCGAGCTCGACAAATAATACCCGGTTTGTTGCGTTGAGTGACCAAGTTGGAGACAGAGCTGGAGCTTGAGAGAAACAGGAATAAGTCAAAAGCACTGAAAAGATGTCTGATTGCGTGTTTGCTGCTCATTTTTCTGATTACTTCCTACAAGTCTATTGTTTAATAGGATAGTTTAGATGCGAATATGAGTGGTATGAAGGGGTTAATTTGAAGTTAATATGAGTGTGTGGGCACTTGTAACTGAATGTGATGCCTTCATTTTGTTCCAATTTATGTAAATCATTGAATTATGTTGTTCCAATGTATTGCAATGTGATGTAATGTAGAAGACAAGAATTATGTAGTTAAAACATTTCAGTTCATCGGAAGCTTTCCAGTTCATGATGTATGTAATTTCTCAATCATCCAATGCAAATAAAATACGTACAAATCATCCAATATTGTCATACATTCATGTTCAAAAACTGCAACCATAACCTTTCACCACAAGTGTACTAACCAGGTCCAGAAATCAACCTTGCACAAGTGCATTAACCATATACACAAGTGCAATATAGGTGCACTATCCATGTCCAAAAACAAGAACAAAAGTTTGAAGCACAAAAGTCAATCATTATGTCTCAGCTGCCCCTAATTCTTTTTTTGTTGTAGCCTTCTTCCTTGGCTGAAGCGATTAAACTTTTGTTGAACTATTGCTGCTATTGGTTTTGGTACTACCCTGGGAGTGATGAACAGTTTGGAATGATGATGGTGAAGCTGACTTGGTCTGTTGGGGTAGTATTGGCCTAGGACATATGAATAGCTTTACTGGAGCTCTAAATGTTGAATAGGCCTGGGAGGTCTGCTGGGGTGGAATTGGTGGTTTGAACCTAACGTATGCTACAGTTGGTCCTCTTTGATTAGTCCCAACAGTAGTCCTAGCAGAAATTGCTGGTGTTGGTCCTTTTTGAATAGTCCCACCATGTGTTTTAGTTGGTCCTTTTTGATTACTCTCAAATTGTGTTGGAGTTGGTCCTCTTTGATTGGTCTCATCTTGTGCAGTTAAAGGATAATTCTTCCTTCTGACTTGGACCATAGACCACATTGTAAAATATAAGTTAAACCAAGTTTGTAGAAAAAAAAAAAAAAAAAATACCTTATGATGTAATTGGACAACAATAATGCTTATAGGTAACTTGACCCTTGGACCTCTATAAATGACAAAACCTTTTGATGCAATTGGACCTCTTTGACTGATGCCAACTTCTGTTATAGCAGCTGGTGGTATTGGTGCATGAGATGGGCCATTGTCATCATGTTCAGTTGGAGTGTGACACTTTCTCTTATTATGTCCAATTTGTCCACATTTACCACATTTTATGGCTTTGTATTTCCTCTTTAATTTAGTTCCTGATGGAGGTTCATCATTTTCCCTCCTCCTAACTTTCTTGGGCTTGTCAAACATTCTACTTACATCTGGAGGAAGAATAGGTGGATACCTAGTCCTAGGCCACATGTCTTTACCATTGATTGGATTCATGAGATGACTATAACACTTTAAAAAAGTTTGAACCTTGCATAATCAACAACATTATCCTTTGGTCATAACCCCAAGTAGTTGAGAGTAGAAACTGCATGCTTGCAAGGAATTCCAAGTAAGTCCCACTTCCTATAACTGCAATTCCTATCCTTCACGTTTATAGTTTTTTGCTCACCACACATCCCCACCACCTCAAATTTGTGTTCTCCATTCCAAGTAGGTATGAAAGATGCAGCCTCCACTTTAACAAACTCCAATCTCTTTTGTATGTTAGGACATATAGAGCCTCTGTAGTTCTTCAAGTAATCTCTTTGCCTATGTATTTTTTTCATGAGCCACACTATAATTTTCTCAAGCATTGTTATAGTAGGCTTGTCTCTAGCCTCAACTATGCCGCCGTTAAAACTTTCACACAAATTATTCAACATGTCACACTTAGGAAATGTACTAAAGTGAGACCTAGACCAATTGACTGCTGGTCTATCACACAACCACTTGTATGCATCTTCATGAACTCTACGTAATTCATACATTACTCCTTTAAAATCAACCATGCTTGTAGACTTAGCAACTCTCCACAACAAATCCTTTAATGCTAAACCCTTATGCTCTGTTTTGAAGTTGGTGTACAAGTGTCTTACGCAAAACCTATGTGCAACATTTAGAAAAAGATTTTCAATTGCATCTAAAATTCCCTGCAACAAAGGTATACAAATAATGACTCCATAGAAGATATAAATGTAAACAAAGGTCAAAAAATGAAGTCAATTACAACTAAACTTCTGCCTGTCTGAGATAAATGTCCAGGCATGTGAATTAACAATGTTCAAGGTCGTCTTTCACTAGTTGAAGGAACCAATTCCAAGACTTTTTCTTTTCTTTCTCCACAACAACAAAGGCAAAGGGGTACATTTGGTTATTGGAGTCAATCCCCACAATTGACAATAAAATACTAGTTTGTCCCCCCCTTAAGATGACACTCATCCACACCAATTAAAGGTCTACATCCTTTAATCAAATCTCTCTTTAATGCACCAAAACAAATGTATAATCTTTTGAATTTGACTTGATCACCCCCTATAGATTTGGTTTTAATAATACATGTGGTTCCTAGGTTGGTTCTCCTTAGGTCTTCACAATAATCCTATAGAAAAACATATTGCTCCTTATTAGTCCCACTAACATATGTCATTGCTTTAATTTTTTCCCTATACACCGGACTTCTATGCATATTCAGAACATTTTCCGTCTCAATTGTTTTCTTAAGTGATTTCATTGGCCATGTTGGATTTGAACTAATCCTCTCAACATATGTACTAGCTAGCCACTTAGCATATGCAACCTTCACCTTCAAAGATTTGTTGCAGTTGTGATCATTAATGTATGTTTTAACCTGCATTGTTTTATGCCCTTGCATGCATGAAGTATAAATCATCCAATCACAACCTGGTTTACATATGACCTTCACTCTATATTTCTCATTTTTGACAAATTTTATCTACTTACTCCATTTAATAGAATGTTGTTTAATAGCAGCTCTGAACTCACTTGAATCTTTAAATAACATACCTAACTTGAATTATGAATCACCCAAGTCAGTCTTGGCATTAAACACTGGGTATTTCACCCTATCTTCATCTTCCTCTGATGAAGAGTTTGGAATACTTCTTAGTTCATCTGAATCACAGTCTTCACCAATATTCTCATTAGTAGTACTCATTGTTGTTATATTATCTTTCTCAACCCATTTCCTTTTGTTTCTTCCACTACCATTACCAACCACTTCCCCTTTTTCTGTTTCATTCCTTAGTCACACGTCTTTATCAACCATTGTATCATGTAACTTTACTTCATCCAAATCATACTCACTGTCATAGAAGTACTCATCATCTGAAGTCGAGTTGTCTGAGTGTTCCTCATACTGTGTGATGACTCACTGCCTGATGCATTATCAGAAGCCACAACACTACCAGCCCCACATTATTTCTCCCATCAAACTGTTGTGCAATTGGAATACAATTTGACTTTGCTTGGCTCTGATCAAGGACATTTCCTCTGGTGTGTTCAACATACTCATCAAACACTTTGTGCTTGTTGACCCACCTGCCCAAACCCAAAACATCCTCATCTTTATCTAAAAATTTCCATCCATTAGGAATTATAAGTTGGAATCTGACAATCCCGCAATACCCCAATCTCATCGCTTTCAACATATTGTCCGGTTCTATCAAAGAAAGCTGGTCTATGTGACACAAATCAAGGTGATTCACCCTTCCTCCAACGTACACTTAATCATTCCCATCTTCGAATTGGCCACCATGATGCATTCTAATTGTGAAAAAACCATCACCATTGTCTGCAACCAAATCCAAACAAAAAGACAACATTCACATTTAAAAGTGTGACCCCATAAACAAAACAAACCAATTGTTTAATACCCCAGTAATGTATACAACCAAATTCACTCACGTGAATCAAATAAAAACAAAACAAAAACAATATAATACAAAGCACAAACCCATTTATAAATGATATAATATAGAACACATACACTCAAATTTGAATAAAAAATAGCTTTTACCATAAACACTCACATTGAACAATATATCTCTTACCATAATTCGTTGCTTCTTATCTGTATTTCTCTTCACTTACCACGCAAGACATTTTCAAGCTTCAACTCGCAACTTTCAATCAAAGCAGCAATGGAGGCCTTCTGATCTGCCAGAAAGGGTTTTGATTAGCAGAAAGGGATTTGGGTCAGTGGTGTTCTTACATGAATGCCCTTTATGGTTATCACGTGCATGTCACGTGATTGCTTGGGTTAACAGTAAGTTCAACGTTCGTCACTCTTGGGGCCAAATTGTCACCAAATAATAACATTGAAGGTACAATTTGGAACAATCAATCTTTTGTGGTGTAAATTAAGATTTTTTCAATATATTAGGGGGCAAAGTGCCATTTGCCCCAATAAAATTGTCCAAGTATTCCCAAAGTTCGAAGATGACATTTAGATGAAAAGTGTATTTTTTTACTCAAATGTGTCTTATTTTGGATGAAAAGGAATGCTAGAATTTATTTTTTATCAGTTGATTTCTCAGGGATGCATTTAGATGCTTCAAATACCTTGATCTTTAGTTTATGGCCTCCTCATCAAGTGAGTTTCGGTTAATATTTAAACAAATTCACATCAATGAATTAAAACATCTGCCAAAAACAATTTAAGGGCGGTGTGTTACTCGACGACACTCATGGTTATTCAGTTAGTACGTACAAAGACTAAAGCTCTAGTCCTTTCTCTTAAATTGTTTAAGACCACTGACCTGTGACCATGAGTGTCATCAACGAATCAATTGTTATGGAGTTTCAGAAATTACAGTTTAGACCCTCAAGTTTAACAAATTACATTAGCCCCTAAAGTTTTGGGAAATTACATTTTGACCCCTCAAATAATAAATTACAATTTAGTTTCAAAATGTTTTGAAAAATTTCAATTTTACCCCTCAAGTTTCATACATTACAACTTGGCCCCCATGTTTCATAAATTAAAATTTGACCCTTCAAGTGTAATAAATTACAATTTAGCCCCTAATGTTTTGGAAAATTTCAAATTCACCCCTCCAGTTTCATAAATTATAGTTTGACCACAAATTTTTAACGAAATTACAATTTGAACCTAGAGTTTCATACAATTTGAACCCAGAGTTTCATAAATTACAATTTGGCCCCCAAGTTTTAAAAATTATAATTTGACCTCTAAAGTTTTATAAATTATATTTTGACACCTCAACTTTCATAAATTATAGTTTGGCCCCAAATGTTTTGCAAACTTATAATTTGGCGCTAATATTTCATAAATTAAATTTGACCCCTCAATGTTCATAAATTGCTGTTAGACCACTCAAATTTCATATATTACAATTTGACCCCCTATATTTTGAGAAATTACAATTTGGTCCCTCAAGGTTTAACAATTGTAATTTGACCTCTGAAATTTCATAAATTATAATTTGATCCCTCAAATTTTCATAAATTACAGTTTTGCCTCTAATGTTTTGCAAAATTACAATTTGGTTATAATTTGACCTCTAAAGTTTTATAAATTATAGTTTGACCCCTCAACTTTCATAAATTATAGTTTGGCCCCAAATGTTTTGCAAACTTACAATTTGGCGCTAATATTTCATAAATTAAATTTGACCCCTCAATTTTCATAAATTGCTGTTAGACCACTCAAATTTCATATATTACAATTTGACCCCTATATTTTGAGAAATTACAATTTGGCCCCTCAAGGTTTAACAATTGTAATTTGACCTCTGAAATTTCATAAATTATAATTTGATCCCTCAAATTTTCATAAATTACAATTTTGCCTCTAATGTTTTGCAAAATTACAATTTGGTTTTAATGTTTCATAAATTAAATTTGACACCTCAATTTTCATAAATTGCTATTAGACTACCCTAATTTCATATATTATAATTTGACCCCTAATGTTGTGCAAAATTTCAACTTTACCCATTAGATTTCATAAGTGAGAATTTGACTCTCAAGTTTCGTAAATTATAATTTGATCCCTAAAGTTTCATAAATTATAATTTGACCCCTAAGTTTTGTAAATTATAATTTTGCCCCAAAATTTCAAAAATTACTTTTTTACCTTCTCAAATTTCATAAATTTTTACTTGACTCATTCAGTTTCATAGATTTCAATTTGACCCCTCTTGGGTTTTTCTCACAATTTCCTCCTGGCATAAAACCCCCAACACTCATCAGCCACGTCAACCATACGGACAAACAAAATTGGCGGAAAAAAGTTGTTCATCAATCAGAAAGCAACAAGAAATCATTCATCTTCCTTCATAGAAGAGGAAACCATTGGTTTTGGTAACCACAAAAACAAACTAAAACAGAATTTTTTGTCCAACAATCTAAATACAGAGAACAATACTAAAAAACAAGGGTACATAACAATAGTAATGAACAACACCCTGCCCAAAAATGTAAACCCAGACAAAAACTCTGTTCAACACCAAAAAAAAAAAAACCTTAATAATAATAATTGCATGGTACTTTTACCATTAAGAACTGCTTCTTCCCAAACAATAATGTCACAAAATTGTTAAAAATACCTTACAAAAACTCCTAGAAGACAACAAAAAATCAAATTCCTCACCCACATATACACCCAAGTTCAGTTTCAATTTCGATCCCAATTTCAATAAATTAACACTCAACTTCATGAAATTAACACCAAATGTCATTCGATTAAAGCCCATTGTCATCTAAATTCCATTTAAGCATGTATTCTCCATGCCCACAACTCTTGTACTAACATACCAATTACCTAGCTTTATATGGTTTGTCTTCAACATGAAGAAGGCATCCAAAAATGGCGGTTCCCATGCTCACCACTTCCAAAAAGTAGCAGCTCCATGCTCCACCACTATCATGTCTTCCATAAAATAAATTTGGATCTCTGCACAACCAATGAAATTATTGTCAAGTTCAACAAGGAATTCAAAAAAAAATTAAAAAGAGGCAATCAAGAAATAGCGCAAGAAAGAATTCAAGTTTTTTTTTAAAAAGTAACCTATTTCGTGTACGAAAATCTTAACAACACAAATTAGAGAAAGCATCTACACAAGATTAAAAAGAGGTGATAGAAAAGAACCATTTTTATTGTTTTCAAGAAAAAACTAGACCAAAAAGGAAAAAGACTGCCTTCAGCCACTATGTAGCACAAAAAATAATTTTACTACTAAAAGCTATGGCATATACAATACTTTTTAATGACAATAACAAAAAATTATTTGTAGTCATAAACTTTTAATGAAAATACCAGAAAAATGAACTAAAATGATAACAAACACATTCCTTCAGCTTATATGAATTCCTATCTTGTTTCTGTTCTGTCACCGGCCATTCTAACATTCATTTACTTTATATTGAATTTCTTCAATCACCACAACATATCCCCGTAGTAAAATACTTTCCTCCATCAAACCATGATCCACCATTTCAAAACTCCAATTTCTACAACAATAAGCATTTCCACCGAACAATCCTTCATAATGCACTCCACCTAACTCATGGTCCACCCACCATACATTCTTTGCTATCCATGCTTACCCAACCTCTCTAAATAAATAAAAAAATACTCAAAATACCACACTATCCAACCACCTTCACTTCAATACCACTTCCACTAATTTGTAACGGAGAAATTGGAAAAACAAAGATAAGAGGATTCCTTTTGTGATAGGGGATTACATCTAAAAGATAGTGTACATTGAACATCAACTCCACGCCCAAAAAATTAAAAATTACAGTAAAACTTTCGATTGAGAAAGTTTTTTAAACCCGAAAACTTTATAAATTTCAAACAATATAGATCACATTCAAAGTGCTATGACACTAACTGTACACGGGAAACACCACTTAACATATGCATTTTAGCACAATATGCACACCACCATGATTAAGATTGAAAACATATCTAAAAAATAGATTTACCACTTAAAAAAAAAAAAGAAAATGACAAACTTGTGGCAAAGTAAGCACACAATTAAAGATATTCTAATCACTCATATGGCTCCATCACTAATTTAGTTTTTCCCACCTTCATTTTTCAAAAGGACAAACATCAAGAAGCACAGAAGTCAAATTGACTAAATCAAAAATATTCGTTAAATTCAAATGTTCATTATATTGTAAAAATACCAAAACTGCATATGTATAAATATATAAGGTCTCCAATTTTTTGCTCGTTGATCCATCACTTAACTGATCCAAGTGGTCCCACATTAATCAACTTTAAAACCAATACATGACATAAGATCTATAATATAAAACAAGACAGACTTCAATAAACTCATCTAATAATCTCAAATAGACTCATCCAACAGCCACCAACACTCATCTCAAAACCATTCATCGACGGTTCGGATTAATCTAAATTGATCTAACAATGCAAAATCACTCTACTTGAAATAATATCCCGCCTATTCTGTCCCTTCACTCTTCTCCATCTTCTCTCTCTCTCTCCCTCTCTCCCCCCATCTCTTCCCTCTCTCTCTATTCAAACTTCAATGACCACATCTTTCTTCAGCTTCCAACTCCAATAACCACGTACTCCATCAATCTAACAACTCGGCAACTCTAATGTTAATCTTCCCCTCCTCTTTTTCTTTCCCTTTCTCTTTCTCCTCGCTGCTACACAACACTCACACAACCCATACGTTCAACACAGCTGTTAATTTTTTATAATTCATCAAATTAACAACCTAGCTATTAATTTTTAAAATTGGGAGTAGCTCTCTCTTAGCCTTCCAACGCCACCATTGCACCTCTGCACCACAACACCTCTGTCACAACCACAAACATCTCCCACGTGTTTCTCACATACAGCATGTGTTCGACGAAATGCCGCTACGGACACTTCCCCACCACACAACCCATAGACACCAAGTGTATTATATTGCATTGGTTTGTGTCGCGTTTTCACAAATTTGTGTACAAGTTGAATTTATTTTTGGGTCCCATTTTTAAAAGAATTCTGCCAAAAATTCCTTGAATAATAACTATGCACATTCTCTAATTAGTATTTTGTTTGTATTGTTGTAGGGGTTCGATGCAATTTACTAATTATTTTTATGAGAATTCGATTTACACGTTTCATGGGTTAAGTTTTTCCAATAGCCGTTTCGGTTGAAATTAGATGTGTTGAAGTTGCAAAACTTTTTTTGACATGTATGTGCATGCATCTATACATATCGATAGATGTATCAACCCCTAAATGAACTCCAGACAATGAATCTTAATTTATTGAGTTTTTAATTTTTAGGAAATGTATTTGGTGTTATCCTAGGGGTCCCTGCATTTTTTAGGAATACCTCCTTTTGGGATACTTCCATGATTAACATCCACATGTGCTCTGATCCATAGTTCAAAATGACAATAAATTTGATTTTTCATGCATTCCCACATTTTGCAAATTATTTAATCTTTCACAATGAATGAGGTAAATAGTACAAATTGTTAGAAATTGAGTGTGGATCTTTTAGACAAGGCTCTTGAGCATGGATTGTGTTCACTCAAAATTATTCATTGTGCTCATTTTTATGGAGTAACCACTATTCGGCATTTTCTTTTTTTTTTTTGTCAACAAATTGTTGCATAAAAGTATTAGATGAATGTTGTAGACTTTTTATTGTTTACTGTGTATGAGTGTAAAGATGCAATTTTTTGAAAAAAACATGGTAATGAAGTTAGTTGCATATCGTTAAGGTAGAATACTATTTCTTTGTTTTTTAAATCAGTTTTTTATTCTTTATCAT